GAGTAGTAGTGTGTGTGTGTGTGTGTGTGTGTGTGTGTGTGTGTGTGTGTGTGTGTGTGTGTGTGTGTGTGTGTGACAGGAAAGAAGATCCGTGCCCAAAACCAACCCCCACACGTGTGCCAGCACAAGTGACGCACGCGGAACACCCAGTGCGTGTGTGCACTTACAAGAGCTTTTCCCACTTGCTGGTCGCAATGTCGAACATGTACATGCCGCCATACATCTGGTCGCGTCCACACAGCCTGCAGATGACGGGTGGACGGAACACGCAACGAGCAGTCATGTCAGGGACAACAAAGATGCGAGGAGAGCGTCAAAGGGAAGGGTTTGAAATGAAGAGTGGTGTGCATGTACGTGGACCTATCAGCCAATGTATTTGTGCATATGTACAAGTGCACGCGTGTGTGTTTGAATGCGTGTGTGCGATGTGCGTGCACATGCGTGTGAGTGCGTGCGTGCATGTGTGGCAAACGCACTTTCCACCGTGTGCGAGGATGGCGTGCTTGTTGCGCCAGTACACGAGCTGGTGGTCGAAGATCAGCGGCGGGCCCCCGTCACCCCTGCACGTGAGAGAGTGTGTGATTGTGTGTGTGTGATTGTGTGATTGTGTGTGTGTGATTGTGTGTGTGATTGTGTGTGTGTGTGTGTGTGTGTGTGTGTGTGCATGTTAGGGGCTCCATCAAGCTCCCTGTAACCTAACCCTAAGGTGAAACTCCACACCAACAAAACGCACGACTGACAGCGGCAGCGCCAGCCGTCACTCCAACACCGTATGCCAGTGGCTCATGACCTACGCCGTGTCGCGGGAGATGGTTCGCCAAGTGTCACAGACGGTGTCGTACACGCGAAAGTCCTGCGGATGCGCGTGCTGGGCAAATCGACCAAGCACATAGATCTGCCACGCGGTGGTCGTTGTTGATGGCGTCGTGGTTGATGAGAGAGAGAGAGAAGGGGGGTGGGGTGGGGGTCGACGTGTACGCACATGAATGTGAGGTGCACGAATGATGCGACAATGTCAACACACGAAAATTAAAATAAAAAATGAAAAAATAAAAAACACCACACACACACAACAAAAAAAAATCCAAGCCCCACTTCCACCTCTCAACCCCCTTGCTTCCCAAACCCTCCCGCAGTCATAATGACGCACCTTCTTGTCCTTGTCGATGCACATGCGGTGGCACGAGCGTGCACAGGGTCCGCCGTCAGCGAGGGCGTCGTCGCTGATGCACTGCCACCGGTTCTCGTCAATCCAATAGCGCCACAGATCCCCAAGTTCATCCTTGAAAGAAGGGGGAGGGGGGAGGGGAGAAGTGTTGAAGGGTGGCGGTGGTTGAGATTGGTGATGTGCAACCACACAGGCACATGGAGAGGGTGACAAGATGGATGGACAGACGGACAAACAGGCAGACAGACAGACAGACAGACAGACAGACAGACAGATAGACACACACACACATGCACTCACATACAAACAGACAGACAGACAGATAGACACACACAGACACACACACACACAGACAGATAGACACACACACACACACACACACACACACACACACACACACACACACACAGACACATGGCCAGACGCATCGATACAAGCGTGCACATGTACGAACCGCTCCGTTCCAACCGCCAAAGAGATACATGACGCGGGATGTGGTGTCAATGACGACCTGGTGCCCGCCGCGCATCGACGGCTTCTCGTCAGCCTCCTGCCGTGTGCACACACATACACATACACATACAAATGCATACACACACATACACACACACACACGAACGTACGTACATGGACATATGGACAGGTAGATAGGTACATGGGTAAGTGTGTAGACAGACGGACAGGCACGCACGCATACACATATGTGCACATGAGCGGATGTGTCAGTTCGGTGGAAGAAACGCGGCTCAACCAACTGGCACGGGAACATGTGTGCAAATATGTGTGTGTATGTGTGTGTATGTGTGTGTATGTGTGTATGTGTGTGTGTGTGTGAAGCAACGCACCGCCTTCAATCCAAAGCTGTTGAGCGGCTCAAGCTGTTTCCACTCGTATTGGTACGGCTGGCCTGGAGGGGAGGGGGGGACGAAAGGCGGAGATATAAGGTAACAGGCAGGGGGCGCGGTTCACATGCGAATCATGGGTGCGTGTAGTTGAGAGTGTGTTTGAGGATGTGGAGGGGATCACGATACCTATATATGCTTCACTACAACACACACACACACACGCACACACGCACACACACACGCACACACACACACACACACACGCACACACACACGCACACACACACACACAACTCACGAAACTCACTTTCAATGTATTCGTTGAAGATGTTCTTGTCTGTATCGAGCTGAGTCAGCATTTCCTCCACAGCAGCAAAGTCGCCCTGTTTGTGAGACGGTGGCAGCAGCAGCGGCGAGCACCACATGATGAATTACGCGCACGCGCAGACACATGCCCACAGACACACAGGCACACGCAAAGTACACAAACACACACGCACACACACACACACACAAGTACATACAGACACACACACACACACACGCACACACACATACACGGCACCTTTTGGACGAGGAGGGAGTAGAGGGCAGAGACGCTGGTGTCCTCAAGCTGCACTTTGCTCTTCTTCAACAGCTGCTCAAAGCAGTCCATATAGCCGCTGCGCCGCAAGTGCTTCAGGCACAGCCGCGTCGCCTGACAGGGGGGGGGGTTGAAGGTGGAGGGGATGGGTGGTCAAGGCGCGTTTGAAGCAAGCTGAAGTAACTTACTCTTGTGTCCAACATTTCAACAGGTACAAACCGCTAAACACCGCCCCCCCCCCTCACACACGCACCCCCCCCCACACACCTCTTGTTGGACGCGCTTGTGGTGGCGCTTGATGGCTGTGGGCTTCTCTGTGCCGAGCAGACCAATGTACCAGATGCTGATGTGAAAATCAACCTCCCACACGCGCAGCGGGCGAACCTGCCGAGTACACAAGGTAGCAAGCGCATCGGTGAGAAAACTAACAAGAGCAGATTCAGCGCGCGAGTGTAAGGTGCCAGGCGTGAGCACAGCAAATGACTGAATGGGCGCTCGATCCCCAGCACAACCCGTCCAACCCGTCCAACCCATTGCAGACATGCACACGCGCAGCAGCAGCGAACCATGATGTATTGGCAGAGGGTGACGCTGTCAACTGGAATGGTTTCGGGACGAGAGTCGTTCTGCAAGCCCGTGTGCATGATGACATCCAGCTTGTCCGCCTGTTGCCGCAGCACCGCGCAGTGATGCAGGCAAAGTCAACAGTGAGGTGCGAAGAGCGACAGCCACAAAGGTTGCGATATAAAAACAAAAAACAACAAGAGCAGCAAACCAGCGCAAAACAGCACTTGCTGCGATGCTGTGAACACCAGCGCACAGTGCTTGTGTGTTTGTGTGCGTGTGTGTGTGTGTGCGAGTTTGCGGTGACGTGCGTGCGAAGCCATGTGTGCGATGTGGGGCCCAACGCACCTGCATGCCGGCAAGGACCTTGAGTTCCCTGACGTTGCAGTTGTTGTCCTTTTCATGCTTGCCGAAGATGACCGCCTTCACCAATGCGGGGCTGTGCAGCTTCAGCAGCACATATTGTGGTGCCGATGAGATGTCGGCGGACCAGCGCGAGGATTGATCATAAGGACGATCTTCCTTGATGTTCTTTGGGTGGAACTGTGCGCTGTAGGAGCTCCAGCCCACCACCTCATACCCAAGCATGTGCTTCTCTGGTTTCTTCGCCCCTTTGCTCGCGCGCCTCTGACCACTCATCATCGTCACTGTCGTCCCATGCACCACCACCACCACTACCACCACAGATACACAGGCAGACACACAAGGAGGAAGGAGACACTGCTTCCAGCACCGCGGCTGTGTTGTCTTCTTGTCTTGTCGTTTGTTGTCGTTTGTGCTGGTTGCGATTTGCCAATTGTACATCAAAAACTGATTTAAGTCTATGTTTGCAAATTGCACAACAGTACCCAGTACCGGTACCTTGAAAATATAGAATTGTTTTTGGCAAAGCACTGCAACCACTGAAGCACTTTGCCTCCCCAACACCAAGACCAGCTCTCTGCCGCCACCACCCTCGCTCAACCATGATGGCTCTGAGGTCCCTCGCCCGTGTCGCTGGTGCGCTCGATGTGCTTTTGCTTGTGTGTGCGCGCGTGTGTATGTGTATGTGTATGTGTGTGTGTGTGTGTGTGTGTGTGTGTGCGTGTATGTGTGTGTGTGTGTGTGCAGCGCAGCAGTGTACAAGCGTTGCATCATTGCACAGCTTGCTATGCTCTCTCGCTCGCTCTCTCTCTCTCTCTCTGTTTCTCCTTCACTCTCTTACCCTCATGCTGACGATGTTGTGATGCTTGAACCATGCATTCAGCCTGCCCTGTGCAGCGCAGCGCCCTTGCTGCCTCTCAGCGCACTCTCAAGGTACATTTGCAAGGCAGTGTTTGTGGCTACTTGTTTGCGTGACAGCATTCCAAGGCACGACGAGCGTGCGTCAATGCACAAGTCTCAGTGTTTGGCTCTGCGCTCTGCAAACACACACACACACATACTGACACACACACACACACACACATATTAACACTCTCTCACACATTCCCGCACACCCACACACACGCACAAACACACGCTTTCACGCACGCGTGCTGCATAGACTGCGCCCGTGTCTCACAGCCTCGTCTCTGACAAGACTGGCAAGACTGGCGCTGCCGTCCTGACTGCCGGTATTGGCGCATACCTCCTGAGCCAGGAGGTGCTCATCCTTCACAACGAGACAGTCGTCGTTGCCGCCGTCGGTGCCGTCACGTATGGCATCATGAGCAAGGCTGGCAAGGACGTCGCCGGCATGCTCGACGAGCGCGCACAGGTGCGTCCAACCGCGAAACCCAGCACTTGTCACCAGTCGCTCTTGCACTTGAGTGCAGATGCACCTGCACCTCCCGCTTCCCACACACGCACACACACACACACACACACGAACGTCCACCCTCGCTCACCTTCTCTTCCATCCCCCCCCTTTTCCAATCGCTTGTGCACGTTGTAGGCGATTCTCGAGTCTGTCAACGCTGGTCGCCGTTCCCAGATTGCCACCCTGGAGCAACAGATTGAGGAGCAGAAGCAGCTCAAGACGTCGATGGAGGGTGTGCCGGAGTTTTTCGATGCTGTGCGCGAGTACGAGGCCATGCGCCGGGAGCTTGCGTTCCGCGAGGAGCAGTATGCCGCCTACCAGAACGTTATTGGCCAGCTGGAGAACATGGTGTCCATCGAGTCCTCGGTCCGCTCGCGCGAGCAGGACGAGATTGTGCAGTTCCTCGCCGCGGAGGTGCCCAAGGCCCTCAAGGGCAAGGTACGCATCACCCTTCTGTGTGCGTGTGTGTGTGTGTCTGGCATGAGTGCGTCTTTGCTTTGCTTTGTTCCGAACGTAAGCCCATGCTACCTCTACTGCGGCCACTGTTGCGGCTGCTTTCATTGTGCTTGTGCTGCGTGGCGCGCCCAATGTTGCACGCTCACCTTGCTTGTGTCATGACTTGGCTTCTCTGTTGGTGCGCAGGAGGAGGCCATCATGAACAAGTGCATTGCTGACCTGCAGGAGCTCTCTGCACAGGCCTAACTGAAGCCGTCGTTGTTGTCATTGTTGTCGCCGTGTTCATCTCTGTTCGTCGTCCTTGCTTGTCGCTGTTGCTGTCGTTACTGCACTCGTGGACGAAGGCGCTGTCATTTGGCATTTGGGCGGTGTCTGTGGTGGTGAAATTGTGGCGCTTGCTGTGCGTGGTGGTGCACGGCAACACGATGGGCAGCGCGTTTATTTTTTGCAGGCTGGTGTTCATTCTCAGCACTTGCGCGCTGGCTTGTCGATCCGAGTGCTGCCGTCGTGTGCGTGCCCCAGGACAACATGCAAATGCTTGTTTGCCCCACCAGTTTGCTCTCCTCCTTGGCGTCGTTTGTCTGTCGTGCGGCGCGGTTGCAGCCGTGGTGGTATTGTTGTTGTTGTGTTGCAAGCTATTGGTGTTTTGTTCGCTCCTTGTGGTGGGTTGGTGCTTGGCTCACGAAGAAGTTTGGTTGCTGCGTGGTTTGTGCGCGTGTGAGCGGTACATTGTGTGTAGCCAAGTGTTGGTTGTTTGTCCTTGCCTCGCGTGTGTTGTGCTGTGGTGTTGTGATTGAGGCACTCGTAGTTTCAGGGCGAAGTAAAACACCCTGGAAACATCATTCCTTTATCCCTCGACCATACACGCAGGGAGAAACACTGAATTCACCAAGCACACACACACACACACACACACACACACACACACACACACACACACACACACACTTTCTCTCTATCTCTAACACTCCCCCCCCCCCCAACACACACACACACACACACACACACACACACACACACACACACACACGAACGCACGCTCCTCATAGTTTCCGGGCTTGTGAGCACATTTATGTTTGTATTTCGCAGTGAGAAGCCACACGCCCCCAAAAGGACAAGGGTGGTGTGTTATGTTATGTCACTTCATAGTTCCATTAACTCACGGGAAGGCAGGAAGGGGATGAAAAAGAGACGCAGAACACTGCTGGGGTGCGCAAACAACATGTGACATGACATGACATTGACGCCAAATACACAGCTTCAACCCCAACAATCGCGTTACCACCTTGGGTGTCTGTGCTGTTGTGGCAGTTGCGGTGGTTGCTGTTGGCTTGAGGGGCGAGAGTCGTGTTGTTGTCGCTGATGCTGTTGTTGGGATGCAGACGCGTACAAGTGTTGCGACTGCTGCTGGCGCGCTGTGTGTGCTGTGTGTGCCAGCCGTTGCTGTTCCCTGGCACGCTTGCGTCTCAGCGCCTGCATGCGCTTCCTGTTGATCATCGCCTTCATCTTCTTCGCCTCAATCTCTTCTCGCGTGTACGTTCGCTTCCTCGACTCCGTCCCCGCCTGACTGGGACCAGCGTTGGTGCTGTGTTGTTGGCGGGTTGTAGCGTGGTGGTGCAATTGGCGATGGTTTTGAGAGGATGGCAACGACGATGCTGAAGGCGCCGCGTGTGCTGTCGACACTCGAAACGTGTCCTCGTAGTGCTGTGGTTGTTGTGGCTGTTGTGGCTGTCGAACCACCGCTCGTTGGTGTTGGTGGTGTTGTGGTTGGTGGGGTATTCTCGCAGTTGCTGGCGGTTGCTTGTGTGACAAGCGTGGTTGTGGTGGCTGCAGTGGTTGTGGCTGCGGTTGTGGCTTGGCGTGTTGCTGGGACTGCGAGCTGTGACACGATGATGGCGTTGAGCCGCCACCGTGATGCGCCCGCTCCTGCGATGTCGGCACATTCTCGTAGCGCTTATTCTCAGAGTCTTCATCGTCCATCACTTCACCAACACCCACACCACCACCACCACCACCACCATCATAACCACCACCGTTACCATCATCACAACTGACTCTTCCAACATGGTGCACCCCCTTGCTGTGCCTCCTCCTGCGTTGGCTTCTGCTGACGCGTTCGTTCATGTGTCCGTCGTCATCACCGTCGTCATCATCATCGTCGTTGTCGTTGTCATTCGCGTCATCAAACAGTGACGTTGGGCTTCGCCTCGCAGCGTCAAGTTGCGCACCTTCACAATTGCAAAGATGACCGTGTGTGTGTGTGTGTGTGTGTGTGTGTGTGTGTGTGTGTGTGTGTGTGTGTGTGTGTGTGTGTGTGTGTGTGTGTGTGTGTGTGTGTGTGTGTTTTGGAGTGAGAAGAGTGATGGCGGCGGCAAACAAAATGGCTGTCGAGTTGTGGTTGTGCTGTGCAACTGCCGCGCTGACAGCATACTTGCGCGTGCACACCCACGCGTGCACACAAATTGCACACGCAAACCATCTGTGGAACTTACGCCAATTGGCAATGTCGCCCTGCATCTCCAGCACTGCTGCGCGTCGCGCTTGCCTGGTTGGTGCATGATTCAGAACGAAGGTACAAAGCAGGAGCATACAGGCGAATGTATGGTGAGTGAGGGCAGTTGGCACGAGAGAATGACGCCAGGAGGCTCTTGAGCCGACATTACAGGTGCAACATGCCACATCAGGCACGCAGGATGACGAACTGCACGACATGTGCTGACCTTGCTTGCGCGCACAGAGGCGACATGCTCATGCAAGCCTCCATTGTCACGGGATTGGCGGCCTGGCATAGGGTGGTGTCAGGAAAAGGAAAGTCACACACGATCGTACACAGATAATTGGTGAACACGTGCTTTGAATACAGGCATTCGTGTTCAGAGTCACAGACACAGAAGCGCCATTGTCATCATCATCAGCATCATCATCATCATCATCATCATCATCATCATCATCATCATCATCATCATCATCATCATCATCATCATCATTATCATCATCATCATCATCATCATCATCATCATCATCATCATCATCACACGAACACACACGAACAAACACACACATACACACATACACACGGTCATGCACACACACATACA